GGCGGGTGTGGTGGGGGATAAAGTTAAGGGGAAGGGTGCACGGATGAGGGCCAGCTGTGGGCGAGGCGGGTTGCTGGGAGGGTTGGGTAGGCGGTTGGGGGAACTGGGGCCCAGGGGCGTGCCTGGATGCGACGGGGGTCGCCGTCATAGGGGCGCGCGCATGCGCTGTGCTCGGGGGGCCCGGACCAGGTGCAGTGAGCCGCCGCGGAGCTGCAGCGGCGCGCGCCACTCAACCCCCAGGACCCTGCAAGAGGTCCCGCAACCCAGACGACGGCTGCAAACGATTGACACGATGCCGTAGCCCCCACCCTCCCTCCCCTAACAGGTCGTTCCCAACCCCGCAAGCGGGGAGGAGTAAGACGAACGGCTGCACGGTCTTCCGCCCGCCCGTTCAAGCGTAAGGGCGCCCCCTCACGTTTTCCAGCAGCACCCAGGGCACGGGGCGGTGGTCTGCCGCGGCGCGCTCCAGCAGGCGGAACACGTGGCGCACCAGTCCGGTGGACTGGGTTGGGTGGAGCGGGTTGTCAAGCAATGGTGGGCGTGCGGACAGTATATGTGAGTGGCGGGAAGAGAGAGGTGCTCTGGGGTTCACGCTGCCAACCAAGCGGCATGACCTTGCAAGCGCCCAGCTGCCCCAAGGACAGAGGCCAGTCACGCGGTGGCGCTGCCGCCCGGTGTACTGAACCATGGTGCCTGTGGCCGGCTGCAGGCTACTCACCGGGCCGTCGAGGCCGCGCCTGAGGCCGGCCCTCGACACATCGATGCAGGGGAAGCCGGCGGCCAGCATCTCAGTCTCCTGCAAGGCGGGGCAGGGGCGGATGCACTAAGTTATTGCACCCAGTGCCGACGCGGCGCAAGAGCTTGCGGGGTCAATGATGCGGATAGCAGATGCGGACACCACTGGCTGCCTTTCTGCGCCAGAGCAATGGCCAGTGAGCGGGTTTAGATACTGGCAGGCAGGCGGCGCGGCGCGGCGGGGGCTGGCGCACCGGCGGCAGGGAGGAGAGGGCGACGATGTCTGGGGCCAGCAGCGTCCCTGGGAAGGCGGTCTTGAGGACCTGGTTGCATGGCGCGCAGTGCACGCATGGGGGTGAACGGGGCGTGCTGACGGACGCATGGAAGCATGCATGGAGGGCTGCATGCGCCTGCAGCCTATACTGGGAGCGCGATTGGTCTCATGCGGGGCGATGGGCGGGCGGCAGGGGGCCAAGGGTACCGCGAGCAGGGACACGCGGACACGTGTTGACTGGAGCCGCAGCGGCCGCAGTGCACCTGCTGCGCCCCCGGGTCGTTTTCGCACTGCAGAATGATCTCATGGCCGGCCTGCGTGGTGACATCGGGGCATTGCATGTGCCAGGGGCTTGTGCATCAGCCGGGTGTACCCCAGCCGGCGACACAGGTTCAGTCGCTCAGTCGCTTCGCACATGTGCAGGGGCTACGGCCTGGCGTGTGTGTGGCCTACAGCGCTGACTTCCGTCGAATTCAGGCACAATGGACTTCTCACCTGGTGCAGCCCATAGTCCAGGCCCCCGCATCCTGAAAACAGGGAGACGACCTTCATCGCGGTGGGCCCAGGTCGCGTGAGAGAGGGTAAGCACGCCCTATGTGGAGCTAGATGACAGTCTCCGACTTGTGACGGGCTGACGCGGCGGTCTAATCAGCCATTCATGATCTGGATCTAGCTTGGGCACTCCTGAGCGGCAGTGCCTCTACAGCCAATATGTGTGTGCACATGTACACCGAACGCCCGTTGCGATACCTGCTGGCGCTTTGGCGTGGTCCGTGGCAGAGGCAATGCACCACGACAGGCGTCACCCAAGTGCCGCCTTCGAGCCACATCATCCAAGTGCCCCACAACGGTGTGCGTTGGCAGGGTGAGCTGCATGTTGGGAGCACACTGCAGTTGCAAATTCATGTGTATGGTCGCACCATACAATGAGGCCAGGATGGTCTCTACCTGCAACAATGTCAGAACTGGAGAATCTTCACTCTGCCACTTGCGACAACGCGAACAGTGCATGCTTCGGTCATGAACAAAGGCATGATACTGTGCCAAGCAGACGCCACTGTGCGCTGCCGCAGGTATGGCATCGATATCTGCATCACAATTGAGCAGCCGACACTCCAAGCCCCTCTGCAGTTTCACTCAGTCACCATTTGCACGACGCTGTCACTGCTCCGCTGCAGCAGCATAGGTTACGGGCTACTGTACAGATGCGCATCCTTATGGAGGGCACTCATCATGTATACAGCCAAACCTCGCAAGCCGACCGTATGCTGCGCCCAAGATCATTCCAAAGACCAGCGCGGATCAACGGTCGTCGATATCTATTAGCAAAACATCACCAGAAGCCCGTGCGGATGACGAGCGCATCTAGCAGTGGTCCTGCAGCCAGCATGAGCTTGGCAGGCGCAACCACACCGACTGCTCCAGCAGCAGCGCATGGCGACCAGAGTGCTGCCAGGGATCCCTATGTGCTAGGGCTCACAGGGAGCATCGGCATGGGTAAGGTACTAACATTTCCATCTTCAGGGCGCAGCTGCTTGCATGCTGCATGCGGCCTCTGCCGTCTGTGTGTGGGATGTTTACACCCTCGGCAAACTCACACGTGGCTGCATGCACTTGCCCGTAACCTGCTATCGCCAACACGCAGGCAAGTCCACCGTTTCCAAAATTTTTGCAGACCGCGGCATCCCTGTCATTGACGCGGACGCTATAGTGCACCGCCTCTACTCCAGAGGCGGCGCCGCAGTAGCGCCCGTCGGCGCCGCCTTCCCTTCCGCCGTCGTCGACGGCGCCGTCAGCCGGCCTGACCTCAGCAAGTGCGTCGTGGGGGATGAGGAAGCCATGCGGAAGTTGGAGGGGATTGTGCACCCGCTGGTGGAGGCGGAGCGCGTAGCGCAAATGCGGCAGGCAGCAGGCGTGGGGGCGCGACTCCTTGTCCTCGGTGACTGGGTCAATTATGTACAGACAGATGGGAGGTAGTGGCTTCGCTTTTGTTGGCTATTTTGTTGCTTACAGTCCACCAGGGTGCTTTTTGGCCAGAAACAACAGCGGCTGTGGCAGCAGCCGGTGCTGGTTAGTGGATTCCGCACACTGTGAGATTGGCAGCTAGCCCACTCGTGGCTGGCTGCCACAGGTCGGCCTGGCGCCTCCCAGCATGCATTAAGGGTGGTGCTGCACGCCCTTGTCACCTGATTACACTACCCTCACCCTTTGCCATGATGGCTCTGCGAGCCGCCTGGCCAGCTATCTGCACCTTGGAGGGCTGGGCTGGGCAGTGCATACATCCCTCCAGTCTTACGCGCGCCACAGTATCATCAAACAAGCAATCAAGCGCTTTGGCCTTGGCCCCAAAATCTCATGGCCATTAATTGCAAACCGCCATGCTCATGACATTCCATTCCTCTGCACACCCCTCGCCGCCTTCCCAGACATACCCTTACTGTATGAAACCAAAGGGGAGTCTGCCTGCGACGGCGTGGCGGTTGTCAGCGCACCAGCAATTACGCAGCGTGCACGCGTGCTGGCGCGGCCGGGGATGAGCGAGGAGAAGCTTGATGCCATTCTCAAGCGACAGGTGCGCGCAGCCAGGATGTTGCCTTGTGCAACCTGGCTTAGTTGTGTGTGGGCGACGAATGCGGTCACCAGCTCCTTTGCCAAATCCGTTTATGTATGCACCACGCATGTATGCTCGCGTACGTGCACACCTGCATGTGCAAACCCGCACACAAGTCAATTATGCTGACACACGCTTTCTCTCTCTCACACACACACACACACATATTCACACACACATACACACACACAAACACACACGCACACACACCCCTACCGCACACAATGACCAATACCCACGAACTTCATGACATCTATGACCACCGCAACCCTGGTGGCAGGTTCCTGATGAGCAGAAGCGGCTGAGGGCTGACTTTGTGATCGATACCGGCTGCAGCATAGAGGAGACGGCCGCTGCTGTGGGGCGGCTGATAGACCAGGTTCTGGCGGCGCACACCGCAGGCAGCGGCGGCAGTGCGTATGCGCGCGCTCTTCAGGCGGCTGCCGCCCAGGAAGTGGCTTCTGATGCAGCTGGGGTCGCCGCGACGGCGGAAGCCCCAACCTGACTTGCCTGGAGCGCGTTTCGCAGCAGTTCGTGGTTTGCAGCTGTTGATTTCTGTGTTCTTTCCACAGTCTACAATCCACAGTCTTCTGTGCTGTTGTCGCTCATCCTGGTTTCTTTCTTGTGCACCGCATTCCTTTTGGTTCTATTCCAAGCACCTTTCTGATCGACTGACTGCCAATCATTGTGCCCAGTGTTGATTGCTTTGCGGCCCAGCTGTTGCTCATTGACTATGCAATTGCTGAGGTAGCTGGCACAATGCCATTCATGCAGCTTGCGCCATTGGCCAGGTTTGCGACTGATGTAACAATCTTCTGTCACCAAGGTCCACATGGCCAACGTTGATTTAAACGTAGCAATACCAGCGGGCAAGAATGGTTGTAGGTGTGTGCATGCCTCTTGGCCCAACACAGAGCCAAACCAAACCTGCATGCAGCACCAGGTGTATCGGTGATGTCGACAATCAGGGCGCAGTACTTATGACAACTTCTGCCTTGTGGCATCTCTGGCATATTTGCCATACGAAGTGATGATACCTTTATAAACATTACTATGATCATATGCAGTGCGCATGCAACAACGGGCGCCTCGCTGATCAACTTGGCGGATCTTGCCGGGAAACACGACACGGCCCAGGTCCAGGCCGGCATACATACATCAGGAATTGCGCTGAATAGGAGAAACTCAATCATTACCATCTTGTGTGCATCGAGTCTGCGAAGCTGCTCCACGTAGGTGAGGCTGTCGGCACGCGGGATGGTCCCATGTGAGCAGAAGCAATCAAGCATGTGACCTCTGAACATCGTTAAATAGATCAGACTTGAAATATTGAGATTGCAGCAGCGCGAGACGCCGGTCTGTCCGAAACGTAACAGGCAAAGCATCCACCCTTTCTGCCGTGACCTGCACACAGTTCTGCAGCAGGCCCAAGCGCACCAGCGCGGTGAGGTGGGGCATCATATGGCTGCAATCAACCCATCAAGCTGCAAGACCGCACAGCAACATGCACGCCACGTGCCAGCCCTGGCGCTGGGCATCCTCATGGGCGCGTCCATTGTGCTGCTGGTGGACGACGGCCGCATGGCGGTCTCGACGCGGCAGCGCCTGCTGCCACGGTCAATCCTCAGATTCGATGATGCACAGGACGATTCAGACGCGTCACAAAGCAGCTGGCAAAGTATGCCAGACAGCAGCAGCAGCAGCAGCAGCAGCAGCAGCAGTAGCAGCAGCAGCAGTAGCAGCAGCGGCAGCGGCAGCGGCAGCGGCAGCAGCAGCAGCAGCAGCAGCAGCCGCAGTAGCAGCAGGGAAACCTGGCACGCGGGCAGCCAGACGCCACATGCGCAGAGCAAGGCTCTCCTTTGTGGCCAGCCCCAGCGAGCCTGCACGTTTGCGCAAGCAAACCAGCAGCTCCTGTGCAACGGTTCCTTCCCGCAGATGATCACCTGGGCCAGCAGCAACGAGACGAGCGCTGTCGGGGAGGTGTGGAAGCTTGACAGCAGCTGTGCCGACGGCTCAGGGGCGTGCCTGTTTGCGGACGACCCCCCTCCAGCCCGAGAAATCGTTGCGCTGGGCGATTCTCAGGCGGTCAGGGTGATGCGCGCCATGCTGCGACTGCTGGGCAGGCTGCCCGGCGTTGAGTGCACTGTCGCAACCGAGGAGGCGGCCCTCAACGCCGCCTACTACAACGTCTCCGACGCGCAGTTTGGCCGGCAGGATTGCAATGGCTGCACCAGCTTCCGGTCTGTTTGCCAGGGCCCGAGCGGCAGGCGCGTCGTCATCGAGTTCCTTCGCATGGAGTTTGTGCTGGACTCTGAGCTTGCTGCGCCGATGCGCATACACTGGGACAACAATTGCGACTTCACCCAGTCGCCCCCATGCAAGTGGTTCTGGAACAGCCAGCAATTTCTGTTTGAAGGGTACCTGAAGCAGCGGCGTCTGCCGCCGGATCACATACACGTTTTCCAGAACATGCACGACTGCTCGCGCCGCTCGCCGGCCGATTTTCGGCGCGACCTGTCGTGGTTCCTCGACGTGCTCGACACAAACCTGCACCCCGGCACCAATGTGTATTTTTGGGAGGCGCCGCACCCGACTGGCTCGAAGCAGCCCGACCAGTGGCGCAACGTCACCTCCCCCGCCTGCATGCGCCGCATGAACGACGCCGTGAAGCGGGCCGTCGCGCCGTTTCTGGAGCGCACGGCGGCCGCGGCCGCGAACGCCTCCGCCAGGGAGCAGGCCTGGTGGTACGCGACGTTTGACCTGTTTGGCCCCACAGGGGGCCGGCCGGACCTGAGTGAGGACGGCGTGCACATGCGAGGAGACTGGTACGAGACCCTGGCGCGCGCGCTGGTCGCGGGGACGTGCGGCAGCGGCCCCGGGTGGCGCGGCAGCCGCGGCGGCTCGCAGGAAAGCGGCGACGCAACACGCTTGGCGCGGAGGGCGTAGCGCACTTGTTTGGAAAATGATTCTTTGCCTGCGTGCGTGGGACACTCCAGGCCAACGGCAGTTGTGCGGGTTTCAGGGGTTGACCCCTGACCAACTAGACCCCAGATGCCTAGAATCATTTGAGTGCACCCTGATATACGGCTGCTGGCGCGTAGCCTGTATGTCTGATTACATGCATAAACTGTGAATCAATTACGCCTGCGACAACAACTGGCCAGATGCCGTCTGACCTGTGAATCGTTTGACCGTGAAACACGGGTAACAATGCAACGCCAATGCAAGCAAGTTGGGTATGGCCAGGTGCCGGTAACGAGTCTTCAGCTGCAAACCCCATCACAGTGAGCCATCCCTGTCAGCAGCCTCAATCGTGTCCAGCCACCCCTTGAACCGCCCCAAAAAACGGTTGCGGTCCGCCACGTGCGCCAGCGCCGCCGCGCGCGCTGCCGCCGCGGCCGCCGCGTACCGCCCCACCGCGCCCGGGCCCTTGAGCAGCGCCGCCAGCGCCCCCGCCCAGGCCTCGACCACGGAGGCCGGCTGCTCGGTGTACGCCCGATCCCGCCAGCTCGCGCACGGCCAGCCGCCGCTGCTGCCGCCACCGCCCTCCGCCACAGGCAGCGCCATCGGCGAGACGGGCAGGGCGGCAGCGGCCCCCAGCCCGGCCTCTGGCAGGCCCCCCAGGTCGCTGGTGATGACGGGCAGCCCCCTCAGCATGGCATCCACCACCACCATGCCAAACGCCTCCTGCCACACGCTGGGCACTACCACAGCCCACGCGCCGGCCAGCAGCGCGGAGACGCCGTCCTGGGGCGGCGCGATTTGGACGTTGTGCGGCCCGAGGACGGACACCTGGGCGGCGATCTGGTCGTCCGAGGTTACGGCGAGGAAGCGGAAGTGGGGCAGGCGGCGGGCGAGGGCGAAGAACAGGTCTGAGCCCTTCTCCCTTTTTTTGGGGGGGGGGCGGGGAAGCGGCATTTGAGTGCGTGAGAGCTGGTGAGTAAGCGCGCATGCGTTCGTGTGTGCGCATTTGCATGGACGTGTGTCTCCATGCATCAGCCGTTCGCATTTGCGGTTGGTCCTCATGCCTCGCGCTTGCGGTGGCCGGCAGGGCGCCTGGTTTCGTTCATCAAGTTCCTGCTCAAGCGGCTGCCAGCCTGAGCGCAAATCAGCAGCCCAGCCCCCCCTGCTCCCCTGGCCGTCCAAAAAAGCCATGCTATCCCTCAACTCTACCCCGACCGCCAGCTTGCCTGTTAAGCTTCAGCATGACTACAAGCGGCGCCTCATCCTTTTCAGAACCGCCAAAGTGGCCACTGCCAGTAGCATCGCCACTGCCTGGCCCCTCAACTGCTGCCACTTCGCCCTGGTACTCAACTTGCTGCTGCCCCCCACGCCCCTGTTGCTGCTGTTGCTGCTGTTGCCGCTGCTGTTGCTGCTCTTGCCGCCGCCGCGCTTGCTGCGCCATCAGCCCCACGACTCGCGCCCCGACGTCCTCAAACGGCTGCGCCCCATACGCGCCCCACGCCGCGTACGGCACGACGCACGCGCGCGCCGCCGCCAGCGCGCCCGCCGCAGCCTCCGGGGATTCAGTCAGGTACCGAGCCACAAACTCGGACGGGCAGACCACCCCTCCAATGCGCGACCACGCCTCCAGGAGGCTAGGCGCCCGCGGCGCCGTGCCATGCGACCCAAACGGCAGGAAGTGCACGTTCTGCACTGCCACCAGCACGCGGCGCCCCCAGCGCGCGGCGAGCGCCTCCAGCAGCGACGCGGCCGCGTCCGTGCCGGGCGCGGGGCGCTGCGACGCGTCCGCGTCCACCACCACCCAGAAGTCACCGGTGCCGCCGCCGCCCCCGGCAAGCGCAGCCTCGCCCTCCCCTATCAGCCGCTGCAGCACGAGGCCAGGGTATGCCGCCTGTGCACAGCCGCCGCCGCTGCCTCCGCCATAGCCTGCCCCAGCACCGCCAAACACGCCGCCGTAGCTGCCGCCGACGCCGCCGCCGGCTCCAAAGCTGACGGCGGCCATGCCTGCCTGCAGCAGCGCCCCCGCGCTGACGTCAGCGTCCTTGAGGGCCGCATGGTGGGTGACGCCGCCCTCCCGCCAGGTGACGACGCCCTCTGTGGCGTGGCTGTAGCTGACGCGGGAGAAGTAGCCGCCCTGTTTGTGATGTGAATAGGAGCGGGGTTGGTCCGTATGGGTTGAGGGGC